GCCGCTGTTCCCTTCCAAATTCGGCCGCTCCTTTCCTTCTCCGGCCGAATCAAAAGAGGGGAAATGATCCTCGAGATCTCCTCTACCTTTTCTCCTTTGGAAACATCGGCTAAATAGGTTTGGAAATCGATGGATTCGAGTTCGAATCGGATCGGCTTTTCTCTCTCCGAGCTCGAGCTTTCCATCTCGTCGCCAGCCGCCGTGGGCCTTCGCCGTTGCCTCCTAGCCCCTTTAAAAGGACCCCCGAGCTCTTCTCTACCCGCCGCCACCTTCGCCTTCGCCTCTCGTCGTCCGTAGCGCCCTAGCGCCGTGTGCCCTAGCGCCGCCGTCGCCGCCGTCGCTCCAGCCGTGCGCCACCGCCGTTCCAGACGTCGCCGTCGCTCGGGAAGACCGTCGTCGTGGTCGCCAAGTCGTCGCCGTCCTCGTCCGCCCCTTTGCCATCGCTGTAGACCGCCGGAGCACCGTCGCCGTCGTCAAGCCGAAGAGCGCCGCCGCTTCTTCTTCGTCGCCGTCGCCGTCCGTTCCTCTTCCACCGTCGCTTTGGTCGCCGGTGAGTTCGCCGTGCCGTCCGCTACCCGTTGGTGCCCTCCGTTCGTGCCAAAGCGCCGCCGTTCGCCGGCGAGCGTGCGCCGTCCGAGCCGCCGAGCCGCCGCCGCCGGTGGTGACGTCATCGCCGACGTCATCGTCGCCCTCTCCCGTGAGCCGGTCGTGGACCGATCGATCTCGACCGTCCGTTTTGGATCAAGTCGATCTCGGCCGTCCGTTCGCGTGAACCGCCGCCATGCGCCCGGTCCACCGAAACCCTAGCCGCTGACGCAATAAATCCCTTTTTCCTTTTCAAAAATAATTCATTATTGCGTCATAATTCAATTAAAATCTATATAAGTGTTTTAATCCGATTTAATCTTTAAAAATTCATAACTAATTCATCTTAGCTCCGATTTAGTTGGTTCAAGTCTCTCAATTTTTCTAAAATTGAGATCTACATGTTAAAAATATCCACATGTACTGTTCATGCTTGTTTATGTGCTGTTTTGGTGTTTTTGCTCTTTCCTGTTTAGATTCCGACGTTTCCGGAGAGTCCGTTTTCGCAGGAGAAGAATTTGAAGAGTTCCAAGGCCAGCAAGGCAAGTCACACAGATCCCAAACAACCCTTTGAGCATGTTGATCCCGTTTAAAGCTACTGTTTCTATTCAACTATTGCATTTATTTTCGAATGTCATTGGGTGGAATTAACCTATTCTTTGTTATAGCCCTCTTGTTCTTGATTACTTTCTTCTTTGATACCTTGGGTTATTATAACTTGACTAGTTGGGCTATATATATTGGTTCAGCTAGATATTAGATGTGATTACCTAGCCCTGCTTAGAAACATTAGCACACTATTGGGATAACTTATGACTCACTATTATTTAATGATGGCTTAATGATAGTTCACGATGGTCAATCGTGATTAGTTAATTAATGTGCCAACTAAAACCTGATAATGGTGGGTTGTGAGCACATGGTTTTGATGGTCGTGCTCATGACAATTAAGGACCGGTTCACGAGTTTCGGTTGTGAAACATTAACCGTGCCAACCACAAGCCAGCGTGGGCAACGGCTTTATCTTTTGTATAGCATGGTTCATTGCGGAGCACCAGACTGAGAAGTGGCGGAGATAAGCCCACGGGGGTCACTGGGGAGTCCATGCCTTGTTTATAAGGGGGTGATTATGATCCAGGAAGGTGCGCTGCGGTGGATTGTGTTATACAAGGGGTATTGTCACAACTCCTTTCCGAGGTACCGTGGTGGTATTGAGGCACATGGTGACATGATGTGGGGTTGTGTCTTGTGGGTACAGTGGTACACCTCTGATCAGAGTAAAACTATTCGAATAGCCGTGCCCGCGGTTATGGACGGGTCTAACAATGTCTTTCGTGATTAGTCTCACCCTTCTCACCATAATAGAAGATGCTATAATTGGTAATAATTTGATTAGCTCCTGGTTTGGAATGGTACATTCCTGGTTTGGAGTTAAAACTGTGCAGCCGGGGTGGTTGTTCAGAATGGTTGGGCCTATACAACAGGGTATGTTGTATAGCGTTGGATTAATATTGTTTAATTATTACTTAACTGTTTTATTAAATTCTGAAATGTTTGCTAAATGCTGCTTTTGCAAATGAAACCCTACTATGCCATCCTTTGTTATCCTGTGCACTTGCATATTTGCTGCGTGGCTTGCTGAGTATGTCATATACTCACCTTGCAATCATTCATCAGAGGAAGAGTTCTACCGTGAGGCTGATGGTGTGGACGATTAGGTGTAGCCTTGGTCAAGCTGCCTGTGGAGTGGAGCCGTCTGCGCCGTTTATTTTATTTTCCGCTGCTTAGATCTTTATTGATTGAGAGGAACTATCTACCTCTGTAATGACATTTTATTCGCTTATTAATTAGAGTAATAATTGTACTCTATTATCAATTTGTTATTGTGTGCCTCGGCTGATTCCTGGACGAGGGTTCACACACATGTAAGCGTTTGGAATTTTGGATAGAAATTCCGGGCATGACAATAACTCTCCAACTGAAGTAGGATACAGAGGTGTATCCAACCCCAGGAAATTGTATGTAGAAATATAAACTGCAGGGAAGACGCTCGTACTGAGCTATCACCATTAGCGGCCTGCTACTCTCCCGGCGAATATACCCCCAAATAATGATAAGTGATAACCTAAACCCATGCTTAAGTTACTACTTATTACTCTACAGCCTTGCAATCGATGCAGAGCATCTGAGTCCCCGGGCCATAGCTCTCGGCCTATCCAGAGCAGACTTATGACCCGGTAATCAGACATTATACCAGCATCAGTGCAAATCACAAAAGGTTTAACTACTAAGATTATACTGATTATAAATAAACTAAGAATGGTACTCATATTCTATGATTGGAATAAAGTACCGAACTTGTATAAAGAAGAAATATTATATTAATAAAAAGGAAGTCTTACAAAAAAAGAAAGGAAAAGCTAAGAACTTTACCGAACTTCCTGAAGCTTCCGCAACTCGGAACTACTCTAATTCTATTCCACTAGTACTATACTAATTCTAACTTTGGAGAAATGGAGCTTCAATCCTTGCTTGAGTGTGTGTTGAAAGTGAAGGAGGTGAGGTCCTTTTATAGCTCAAAATGACGGTTGTAGAGATGGGAATTGTCGGAAATGCCCCGCAACCGCCGTCAGGAGTTCATCCGGAACGTCCAAGCCAAAGGGGAGAGCCAACGGCTGAGATCAGGGTTCGGCCGAACCCTAGACTGGCCCAACAGGCCTGGTTTCTGGCTTGCTGCTTCCTCCTCGGCCTCCCTTATCTCTTAGCCAAAATGCGGCTGGATTGGACTCAACAAGGGGTTGGCCAACCACCTATGGGCTCTTCTGGCCCCCAGCTTCCTCCAGGAGACTTCCAAGTGGGCCCCCAAATCCGTGACATACATTCTAGGCCCATTTGTGATTGTTAAATTGGACTTTTGGGCCTTCTCATGCAATTGCAGATCACCGACAGACTTTCGATTGATTGATCGATATATTTCCACCTCCTTCTCTTCATTTATGAGTGCTTCTCCTCCATACATGTTATTAGCATAGCATATAGTGGAAGTAATTATTTTATTTGGGAATTATGCATTGCAAGCATAGGTAGTCTTCATATATTGGATAATATTGATGGTCGAAACTGGTCGACAACGACCGCTTGTTCTTGTACATAAGCGAGGTTGACACCGGCCTCAACATCATCGACGTCTTCGCCAAGCTAATCCGACAGAAGTTCAACGACACCATGAACAGGAGGGACCTACTCCTCCAGAGCGACAAGATGACAGTTGCGGAGGCCTTCTGGCGGGGAATCGTGGATGGTGGGGTCGACAACATGGTCGCCGCGGAAACGATGAGGACTCCGCGGTGTAGTGGCGGCCTTTTACCTCACACGCAGCGGGGGTACACGCGCGAGGAGTAGTAGCGTGATTGCGGGGTGTTGGCCGTGGAGCCCTCGCGGCAGAGCGGTGTAGCAGTGAGGATGGGGCAGCGGGGCACACGTGCGTGGCCTATGACCTTACGCGCAGCAGGGGCGCGTGAGAACTGAGAGGAGCGTCAGAAGAAGACCAAAAGAAGAGAGAAACATAAGCACAAAACTATTATTTTATGTGGTTCTCTCTCATCAATTGGGTTGATATTATATTGGCAGGGCTAGAAAGTTTTACAATATAGAACGGAGGGAATAAACAAAATTGATAGATGGAAAATAAATTGGTAAAATTAGTAGATGGGAAAAAAAGTAGCACTAAGTTAATAGGTTGGGTATAAAATATTGTCGCGAGATCACAAAATATGTCTTACATTTGGGACAAATTTAAAGGGCAAAATCATTTATATTATGGGACGGAGAGAGTAGTTATATAGCTGAATTTGGCTTCTGGCCTGTGGTGCAGTTGCTTCCAAAATAATAATTCTCTCCGTCTAACTATATATTTGGAGCTTTTTTTTTTTGGATATTAACAATGAGTTTGTGACTAAAGAGTTATTATTGAATGAGATGAGTAGTTATGTGAGAAAATTAAACGAGTAGTAGTTGTGATTGGTTAAGATAAATAAATTGTTGTAGATATTCTTATATTATATTAAATAAATTTTAAACTATATATCATTATATTTCTAGACCTAATGATTAACCAAGGAAAAAATGCAAGGATTTGACAAAAATATAGACGCCAATGCTAGGCGGCTAAGTGAATGGACATGAAACAAAAAGCGAGCAGGCTGTCTATATATGGACAATTAGTTGCATTAATATAGTAGTTTATAATTGCAAGCATGGCACTACATCACAACACCAAAAAGACATGCCGTGATTCTAGAACAGCCATTGAATAAATTAGAAAGAAAGGTTGTGGTTAATTTGTTAACGACCAATCGAGCCTACTAGTATAAATTGTACCTCGTTGTTATGAAGTAATTCATCCTGCAGTAGCGAAACAAGCAGAGAGATAGAGAGAGAATATACAGAAATGAGCAGGTCGAGCTCGAGCATGGCCACCGTCCTCGTGGTGTTGATGGTCGTCAGCACCGGCGGCTTATCCCCACCATGTGCGGCCGCAGCGAAGGAGGAGAAGCCAGTGGTGGTGCTGCCACCAGCGGCGGCGCCAGGGGAGGCGCCCTTCGCGGAGGCGGCAGCGTTCGTCCGCTCCTGCTGCGAAACCGCCCTGCCGGCCGAGCGCGACGCCTCCAGCTTTTGCTACGACGAGCTGCTCCCATACGCTGACTCCTTCGGAGGCAACCAGGTGAAGGTCACCGAGGTGGCCGCCACCATCCTGAGCAACAACCTCTCGGCCTACCTCGACGAGTTGCGCAAGGTCCAGGACGGGGCCGGCAAGGGGGACCAGAACCTGATGGCCTGCGTCGATGGCTTTACCGATGCCACCAACGTGAACATCACCAAGGAGGCGCTGGACAGCCTCGGCCGTCTTGCCGCCGCCGGAGATGGCAAGCGCAGCAAGGAGGATCTGGAGAATGTGCAGAAGTGGATCAAAGGGGTGGACAAACACTACGTCGGAGGGAACGCGGCTGGGTCCGATTGCGAGACAGGTTACCTGTACACTTATAATGATGATCTCCCCGCTCAGGAAACCCTTGGAAATTGTCTCTACACTGCCAGCTCCCTCATCAATCACATAAAGCTTTAATAAATCAAGCTATATTTATAGCCTTCCATGCATGCTCTCTAGCTACCTACTAAGTAGAAGTACATTATTTTATTAATTATACTTGTTAATTACCATGATCGATTAGTGGTGTTATCCAAGATTTTTGGTAACATTTTTTTTTCTCAATTTTCCATTTCATATATTCCCAACTCTCAATTCTACATTATATATCATTTTTTCATTCGACTTCATCCATACTAATATAAAAAGCACTAGTTCATCAAACACCTCCCTCTCGTGACTCTTAGATCTATTCATGCAACTGTTTATATTAAAATTCAACCCTAGATTCCCACGTCGGTAAACAGCGGTTAGTGAAAGTAAGTGAAAATAAAAAGAAAAGAATCCACCGCCGCCGAAAAAGAAAAAAAAAAGAAAACCTATCCTCCTGCGATGCGCCGCCCGCCGCTAGAGGTGGCCAAACGGGCCGGGCCAAACGGGCGGCCCGGGGCACGGCCGAACCTGTAGCAGGCACGGCCCGGCACGGCCTGCTACAGTAACGGGCCGTGCCGGCACGGCACGAGTAGCCGTGCCGTGCTTGGGCCGCTGGCCGAGCCCGCGGGCCGGCACGGCACGGCACGGCTACTGTAGCGGCACGGCACGGCACGGCACGGCCCGTTTCGCCGGCGGCCCGTCAGGCCGAAAGCGGGCCAGCGGCGCACTGACAGGGCGGGCGGCGGTCGAATGGGAAGGCGCCACGTGGCACTAACGGCTATTTGACCGTTCAAATTTGAAAATAACCGTTGGGAGGCTAAAAAATTCATAAAAATTTCGAAAAAATTCCAAAAAATCTCAAATTTCGCCCTATAAATAGGGCATGAACCCCAGCCATTTCTCCTCATCCCACACTCCTCATCTTGTGCTCTCAAGTGTTTTAAGTGCTCTCTTTGTTCTCAAGTGTGCATTTTTTTTGATTTTGACAAAATTTGCTCAAATTTTGTCAAAAATCAAAATTAGTTTCGTAGTTCAACAGTTTGATCGCAGAGGTTTGAAGAGCTCGCGGTTGGAAAGATGTAAGTAATATTCAAATTTGTGTATTATTTGTATTGTGTTTGTGAATTCAATAAATATTCGAAAATTTGTTTATGTCGGTTTAAATTTTCAGAATGGATCCGAACTTTCCATACCAGTCGCCGTCATTCACCTTGGGTGATTTCGACCCCAACTACATGTCGGGGTTTGACGATACCTCCGGATCGGCTCCAACTCCACCATCTGTGGAGGAGGTACCGGTTCATACGGCTGTCGTTGAGGAGGTACCGGTTCAGGCGGCGACAGCTTCGGAAGGATTTTCCGGAACCGCGAGCGGAAGTGTTTCGACACACACCGGCTCGAAGAGATCGAGAACCTCCGGTGTGTGGCAAAACTTCGACGAGATAAAGGAAACATGCCCCGATGGAAGGGAGGTATCGAAAGCCCGTTGTAGAATATGTAGGCAAATTTTATCTGCTCGTTCTTCTGGTGGTACAGGTCACCTCAAGCGCCATGCGGAGTCGTGTGCCAAGAAGCAAGGAATACAACTCCGGCAGCAGCAACTTATGGTAAACCCAGACGGTACGGTACGCAGTTGGGAGTACGATCCCATGGTTGCTCGGGAATCTCTTGTCCGGTTAATCGCCAGGCAAGATTTACCCCTGAACTTTGGGGAGTCCCCTGCTTTTGAACATTACATTCAGCAATCTCATAACCCTAGGTTTAAAGCTGTGAGTAGGCAAACATCAACTAGAGATTTAGAGAATGTTTATCACAAGGAAGCAACTGCACTTAAGGAACTGTTTAGTACATGTACTTTCTCTGTTAGTGTTACTTCAGATATATGGAGTAGTAGAGCTAGAGAGGATTATCTTAGCGTAGTTGTTCATTTTGTTGATGATGATTGGCAATTACAAAAGAGAGTTTTAGGGCTTAGGTTAATAGATGTCTCACATACAGGAGAAAACATAGCTGAAAGAATTAGGGAAGTAATTAATGAATTTAATCTTGCTGATAAAATATTTGCTGTCACCCTAGATAATGCATCTGCTAATTCTAGGGCTATTGAAATATTGCAACCTTTATTTTGTGTGTATGCTCAATCTTTTCTACTCCATGAGCGTTGTGCATGTCATATAATTAATTTGATTGTTAAGACTGGCATGAAGAGGGTAGGTGACCACATCGATGCTGTTCGTCAAGCAATCGCGTGGTTAACTGCTTCTAACCCGCGGATTGCTGCATGGAAGAGGTTTTGCAATGCGGCCGGTGTGAAAGCTCGTAAGTTTGCCACCGATGCAGAGCATCGGTGGAATGCAACGTATTTAATGTTAAAAGTTGTTTTACCTTATAGTAGTTTACTTTCTGATTTTGTTCAGTCACGTGGTGGCCCAAGAAACAGTGACGGGTCTTCAGTACTGAACGAGCATGTTTGGGCAATTGTCCAAAAATTTCACCAATTTCTAGAAACTTTTTATGATTGTACTCTAACTTTGTCACAAGTTTATTATCCAACTGCTAATATAATTTTGCACAACCTTCTTGAAATTGCTAATTTATTTAAAGAATACGAAAATGATGACGTTCTAACTGAACCTGTCTTTCACATGAAACAAAAATATTTGAAATATTGGAAAAATATACCTATGTTGTATGCTTTTGCTTTTGTTTTAGATCCTAGGTGTAAATTAAGGGGATTGTCTGCTATTTTATCACTTGTTGGAGATACTATAGGTGTAGATTATAGTTCTTTTTATACTGAGGTTAGACGTAAATTATATGAGGTTTTTGGAAGATATGAAGTAAAGTTTCAGGAAGTTCGCCAACAGAGACCCCCTCCTATCCCCACTACAGGTAAGAAGAAGATACAGTGGGGTAGGATTTGGGGTGGATCGTCTTCAATCCAAGGTGGTGGCAGTTCGTCGGCTACAAGTGGAGACGCCTCTTCGCATGTTGTGGCCGAAGAGTTGTCCGGTTATTTGGACAGCGACGCCATCCACCACGAAGCACAAGATTTCAACGTCCTCGGGTGGTGGAATGACCACAAGATAACATATCCTGTGCTTTCAAAACTAGCACGGGATGTGTTGACGGTGCCCGTGTTGACGGTGTCCTCCGAATCGGCCTTCAGTCTATGTGGCCGAATCATCGAAGACCGGAGGACGACTCTGCGCAGCGACCACGTCGAAATGCTACTAAGCGTTAAAGACTGGGAGCTTGCTCGACAACATGCCCAATACACTGCGGACAACCAAGAATTGGCCGCCCAGTTCGAGCAACTCTACCTGGATCACCAACCCCAGTAGAATTTTGTTAGAAGTAGTTCTGACCTTTGAGCTGTACTCTTTTCTTTGTCATGGTTTTCTCATTTTCCCCTATGAGTTTTTACATGACAAAGTTTTTAACGAGGCAGCATGTATCATTGTATCCTGTAATGATATAAACATCAATAAAGGTCATTACTATTTTTAACAAATTCTTTTGCAATATTTTCGCAAGTGTGGATTTATCTTTAAATTATTTCAAAATAATGAATCACAATCTATATTTTTAAATTTTTCAACACAACAAAAAAATACCATTTTTTCTTTTTTTTAACATTAGCAAATCATTACTTTTTTAAAAAACTTTTATTTCCATTTTTTAAATACCATTTTTTCATTTTTTAACATTAGTAAATCATTACTTTTTTTTAAACATTTTATTTCCATTTTTAATTTTTTTTCCTTATACATTTCCTTTGCTTTTTTTTTAAAAAAAAACACTGTGCACTGGGCCTCAGCTGCCGGCCTGCCTTCACGGGCCGCCGTGCCCCGAACGGTCCGTGGGCCACAGGCGTGCCGTGCCGGCACAGGCACGGCCCGGCCATCCACGGGCCGTGCTTGGGCCGGCGGCTCGGCACGTGGGCCGGCACGGCACGGCCCGTTTCATCAGCCGTGCCTAACGGGCCGTGCCGAAACGGGCCGTGCCGGACCCGTGCCCGTGCCGGGCCGGGCCGTGCCGCCCGTTTGGACACCTATACCCGCCGCTCGTCTCCTGCGCGCCCGCCGGCGCCACTCCGCTCGCGCGGCTGCGCCCGCCGCCGCCGCTCCGCTCGGGCGCGGCTGCGCCCGCCGCCGCCTCCTCCCGCCGGCGCCGCTCGCGCGCGGCTGCGCTCGCCGCCGCCTCCTCCCACCGGCGCCGCTCGCCGGAGCCGCTCCGCTCGCGCGCGGCTGCGCGCCCGATGGCGCCGCCTCCCGCTGGAGCCGCTCGCCCTACCCCGCCGCCTCCTCACACGCGCCCGTCGCCGCCTCGGATCCGTGTGTCGCCGCCGTCTCTGTTGCTCGACTCCACTGGGAGCAGGGTGCCGCCGTCATCGCCGAGGGAGCGGGCCGCTCGGAGCCGCGGGACGCGCCGCCGCCGCCGCTGTGGGTCGCCGCCTTCTCCGCCGCTCGCCGGGTCTGCTCTCTCCCTCCTCGCTCGTTGGCAGATATGTTCCAGATAAGTGGTTTTCTGAAGCATTTAATATGCTACGTCTGTAGAAGCTCCAAATCATGAATACTTAGGAGAATGGAGATAAAGGCTGAACTTGCTATCCCTATTACTAGCCAAAACCAGTCTGGTTAAGAGGAAATCCTTAACAGTACAAACTGAATCCTTCCTCTAAACCAGGTTATTTCAGTTTCTGACTTACATGTTCTATTCTATTTCAGTTGGTGACTTAAACGTTGGTAGAACCCTGCACAAATAGGAGGCGGCATCTTAATACAATGAAAAATGATGGGAACTCCACAACAGATTTGTCAACACAATCAGGTTTTTTCGTTTATGCCAACGCACTAAGGTGCAGCCGGAAAGGAGCATCCGATGCAGTGGGGGATCGTGGTGACGATCCTGGTGGTCAGCGACGACAATCGATGCCATTATTATTGCCTGCTACTAAGACAAAAATTGGTGACCTGCTGATTGATGTTTCTAACTTTCCCTCGATCAGGTATCAGCTTCATTCATTTATGGATAAAAAATCCAATAGATTGTTCTCCGGACTACAAAAATTTACAGAAAAATGCTCAGTGCATTTCCTGAAAACTTATGCCATAGATCACTACGTACTTATGCTAAACGATGTATTTTCAGACTGGTTAGAGTCTTGGAGCTGTTTATTTCCTTCATTTCAGGCTTCTTGCTGGTTCAGAGCCATGTAAAGATCGAGTTGCTTGATAAAATGTTCCAGTGCTTGATTTTTTATTATTTTCAGCTTGGCCATATTGTTTTCTAAGCTTTGCGAGTAGCTCAAATGAAGGCCATGGTGATCTGCTTGAGCAACATGGCAATAGTGGCTGGTACAAGGTATATGTCTATATTGGTACTGTTGCCTTATTGCCTACGGAGAGGGGTTGATGATAGTGAAATTTATACATTGATCAGTTTTGTGTTTCTCCCGGACGGGTTATGGCAGATAGAAAAGATGATGGTGAAAATTGGTACAAAAGCTACATGCCTACATGTTCGATGAAATACTTCGGTATCCCCGCTGTCCTAACAAGAAATTTTGAGCAGCCATTATCGTAAATATGGTCTGTACTCAATTTTTTGTGCACTGCTGCAGCCACAAGATAGATGCACATAGATAAGTTGCTCAATGAAATGTGCCATTGGCCCTGTAAAAAATTGAGGTTAGAATTCTATAGGAACCTGAATTCAATGTTATATGTGATTTTTTTTTCATGTACATTGTGTTTTGCTTGATCAATTTTATTCTAGAAGCATAGCTCAATTTAACATGTGAAATGTATAAATGCTTCAAACATCTTTTGACTAAGATAATTTTGTCAGGTGAAATATGGAAGTGCTTTAACCTGTCAAGATTATAACCTAAAAGGCTGAAAGTAATATTTTTTCCCCTAGGAGCAATGTTGTTCATGCTCATTTTGAGATTATATCAATTATGTGGATTGTAGACCATGTATTTCTTTACACTAAATTTTTTTCATAGGAACAAGCCATTAGTGGTGATAACTGATATGTTGTGTGCTAAGCATATTTGGTTAACTGGATGTGTGTGACTAACGAAATAATGTTTATTATTTTCGAACAGAGCCAAAATGTTATGAATATCATATCTTTTATGTCATTGACAATGGAACGAATTATGAACTAATAATGGTATATTTATGTTCATGAAACATTCAATTAATGCTTTTATATGAAAGACGGAGTGAATATAAGAGCATTGGATGTGAAAAGCACAGCTTATTGCCAAGAGATGACAGAATATAAGTCTACGAAGAAATAGGAAAGATGCACATGGAAAGAATTACTCCATGTGATGCTTGCGCAACCAATATATTCAACCCCTCAGTCAATTAGGTTGCATTATACTAACTAGGAAACGAACGGCCAGATTTTGTCCACGCGTGGGAAAGAACGGCTTTGATCACGTGGACTCAATTAGAAATACGAAAATAATGAGGGGTTTTGTGCAAAATTTGATGACGTGGATCGGGTGGGCTTGCGGCGACTCTAGCACCTTTAAGATAGCACCTTTAAGATATATAGTATTACATGTTGGTAAACACGCAATAGCACCTTAATACTGTAGTAGTGATAATGAAGGTTAACCTTTCAATAATGAACTGGTTCCCCACTTATTATTCAATGATTCATCAATATGTGAAAATGTTGGACAGTGAATGGAAATGGATACAAAGATACTTCTACAAATTATTCTATTTTGATGGAAGTGCAAAAAGAACTCAATATTTATTTTATGTTTCTATTTTGAAATTGTGATGGAAACGACACATTCTAATTTTTACATTAATATTTTAGATGGAAACAAACAACATATATTAGATGGATCTTAAGATTCTAATTTGACAATTGATAAATTCAGCTTGAAAAGATCATAAATGGTGAAAAATGTGCCTTGCACGTGCATGCTCACTGGTACATATAATTCCTCAGTTCTTTTTTATACATAGGCCTGACGCTAAATTTTTTTGGGGATACACACCACTGTCGATCATATCGTGCATACTTCTGTATTTCAATTAATTAATTTTGATACTTGCTTCCCACACATTGATCGCATGCACGCCACATTTGTAACACTGTTATCAAATTTTGGAAATAAATTTTGTCGGAGAAAGAACTCCTCCACCAGGGAACCGTGAGGCCCCCCTTTGTGAGTTCGGCCGGGGGCAGCGGGTGAGATTCGAGGGCTTGGTGAGCGAAGCTGTGTGATCTTGAGGGGGTTCCATCCCCCAAAGACGATGAGACAAAAGGGGTTTATACAGGTTCGTGCCGCTGAGAAGCGTAATACCCTACTCCTGTGCTTGATTGATTGAGTGTAGAACACAAGTGTTTGGGGTTGCGAGACCCAAGCGCCAGTTCGCTCGGAAGTCCCCCCCTCCATCACTAGGCCTGGACCTCCTTTTATACCTCAAGGGGTTACCACATGGGCCCAACAACCTAACCTAGCTCCGGTGGAGAAGTATTATAATCTTTGCATTAAATGCATGTCTTGTCTCTTGACTTGGGAAGCCAAGCGCACGTCGTCTTGATGATGGGGCCTGTCAAATCTTGCCGCCTGACACGGGGGGTGCCCCTGTCAGTCACCATTTAATGGGTGAAGACTTCTGGGCTCCTATTACACCGGGAAACGGGAGCCTTGCTTTGACCAGAGCGGGAGGACCGACTCCGGCTGGGATAAGAGGATGAGAACCTCTCACCATCATTATTTGATGGGATATGTCGGGCTGAACGTCACCTGACATACGCGATGGTGCGCCAGACATCCTGGGTCCCATCAGTCATTCGACCGGTCACAGACCGGTTGAGTGCACTGCACACCGCATTAAATGCGGCGTGGCGCGACCGTTCGGGTCGCCATAAATGCGGGTAGGTGGGCACCTGGAGGCGGACACCTAACCCACCGTACGTGGTGACCTAGAGAGGGGGTCGGCGGAGCCCGACCCCTAGTCACGGGAGGGGGCGGCCCCCGCCCGACCTCAGGGGGGAGCTACGTGGCGCCTGGGGCGGCCTTCTCCCTCTAGTCTCGGTCAGGGAGTGGCCGCCGCCCTACCTCGGGCCCAACCCCCCTCGAGGGAGGGCCACGTGGCATTGGGGGGCAGCCTCCTCCCTCTAAACCTAATACCCCTGGGCCCATATCACCGACAGTAGCCCCCGGCGTTAGCCCTGACCAAAACCTTCCCTAGATGGTCAGGGTTGACGCCACTCTCCTAGTCTGATGATATGTGGGTCCAATCTCTTCTTCTTTCTTAGCTGGAACTAAGGCCCATGCGCCTTTTTCGCCCTAGCCTGAGGGCAACTCACTAGCCCGTACCTTAGGCTATGAACTTATTTTCTGTATATATTCAGCAAACGTTGTTAGATTCTCTCGGGCCCGTGACGTTACACCGTGTACCTCGCTTGCCCCTGCTTTTTGTTAACCTCTGTTCGTGTTCTACTTCATCTATTCAACCGATTATTTTCGCGTGAGTGTGAGGACTGAACTTTCCATAGCCAGCAATCTTCACCCGCGATCAAGCTAAGTTGGGCACCGTAGCCAGCCGACGGGGCCAAAGCCAGCCGCTACGGAAGAGCTAGCACAGGGGGCCGCGGGCGTCGACGGTACCCAAAGCTCGATGCAGGGCTAGGATAGAGCTAGGAATCGTAGCCACCACACTTTTAGCAAAAAATCGTTTCGATGTATAAAGCGAATACAAACTTTTTGTTACCAAGGGAGGCAAGCCATCGCGCGACACGTGGGTACCGCGGGACCGCGAGGAAGAGATGAGAGATAAATATAAACAATAATAATTCTATGCAAACGATTATCTTCGCACGAGTGCGAGGACTAAATTTTCCATAGCCAACAATCTTCACCCACGATCAAGCCAAGCTAGGCGCTGTGGCCAGCCGCTACGGAAGAGCCAGCACAGAGGGCCCCAGACGTGGACGGCACCCAGAGCTCGTCGCAGGCCTAAGATGGAGCTAGGAATCGTAGCCCCCCACACTTATAGCAAAGAATCGCTTGTATGAATGAAGCAAACACAAACCATGCTTGCATGTCGCGACCTTTCAAACCGTTAGCTCGAAGAGGGCCTCCCACCATGGGTTCCTAACCATTTGGGAAGCATGTGACCACTTAGCAAACGCTGCGACCACTTAGCAAATGAGGTCAGGTTCCCACGAGCCTGCGTCCCCACACTACACATTTTGTTCGCTCTTTCCTTTCGGTGACCTCCTTCCAATCTCTTTTGCTCCCACATGGACGATTACTTCCGCACGAGTGTGAGAGCCGAAAAACTCCAGAGCCAGCAATCCCCGTCCACAGTTGAGCCGGGCCAGGCACCATGGCCAGCCGGTAGGACCAAAGCCAGCTGCTACGAAAGAGCCAGCACAGGGGGTCCCTGGCTTCGACGGCACCCAGGGCTCAACTTAAGGCTAGGATAAGGCTAGAAAACTTAGCCCCCACACTTAGCGATGAATCATTCATGTAGATGGGAGAGGGGTTGGGCTCTTACCACCGAGGGAGCAAACAAATGCGCAACACGCGAGCGTCGCAGGGCCATGAGAATAGAATGGGGGGAAATCTGTAACATACCGAAAATTAACCATTTTCTAATTCTGCATCATGCTGAGTCTTATGTTCTTAATAACTTCCTAAACCTAGGAAAATATAATTAGAGGGACCTTCTAAAACTAATTTGCATAAAATCTCTTTCTGGTATTTAACTTCTTTTGTGTTTTTCATTTAAAATACATGTGGTTGAATTGAGGTATTTCTTGATTTGGTTTAAAACCTTCCTTTGACTAAAATTCTTTTATTCAAATTTAGTTTGAAAACCCTTTTTACTTTTATGAATTATGGTCCAATAAACCTTCCCATATTCCTCTAGAACCTAAACCAAAGCAATTCCAATTTTATTGGAATTTAATTCTCGACCCATCCTTTGATTCCAAACCTATTCGTAATCCTTCCTTTTGATCCAGCCGCCAATTTAATTCCTGTAGCTTGATTTTCTTCTCGGCACAAGAATAATTTTATTACAAATATTGTGAATAATTGCTCTTGTGCTAAGAACATAGATTTTATCCTTGTCATCTAAATTTCCTTTTAGCCTCAAACAATTCTTTGCAACCCATGCCATATATTTTGAGGCTAAAAGTCCTATTTATCTTCCTCCATTTATTTCCCTCCCACATTCCTAATAATAGGTTCAATTTTAGGAATCATAGTATCCATGCTAATATATATATTTCTTTCTCATTTGATTGCATCAAATAAATTCTATTATATGCCACCTCTAAGATATTGCACTCAAATAAACTAAAAAAATATATCTTTCAGAAATTATATCCAAATATAAATTCTTTTCATCCTTTCCCATTCAAATTCCCTTCAAATACAATTCAAATTCTATTAGAAATTCACAAACAATTCTTTTGGGCCGAAATTCCCTCCTCAGCCCACCTTCCTTCTCAGCTCAACCAACACAAGTCCATATTGCCTCCCTCTTCCTCCTCCTGTGGGCGTGTATGTCGCCCACAGTGCCGCTGCCAGGCGCCGAATGTCACATCCTGATTTTCGTCTTAGGATTTATAAATTATTTAATAAATTATTATTAGAATTTATATTAAATGTTCATTAATTTACAAGTGAAGTTAAATATGGGAAATAAAATTTCCTAAATATAAAGCATGGATGGATTTAATTTTTATTAAATTCTCCATGGTTAATTATACTCTCTGGAATATTCTCGGATTTTTCGGAGCTCAATTCCTAATTTTAACCATACAAAGAACATTTCAGTAATTATCTACATATTAAATTAATCATTAAATGGTCTGATTATAATTTTTTTAAGTACTTTGAGTGTTTAAGTATGTTCAGGATTTTTCTTGAAACTATTTGAGCATTGGAAGTATTTTTAACAATTCAAAGATCATTTCAGTGATTATTTTAATTGGAAAAAGTTTTTAAATCCTCTCCTAAGCCGTTGGGCTGATTTCAGCCCAACATGTCTCTCCCTCGCGCGCGTGCTGTGCAGCCCAAGTCGGCCCAGCCGAGTTCCTCCTCTTTCTTTCTTTGCTTTGTTTTCAGCCAGCCCAGGAAGAAAAGTCTAATTCGCCTCCCTCTCGCTACAGTGCGTCTTCAAGCTCCAGAGGCCGTGTTCTTCCCGAGAGCCGCCGTCTCCTCCATCAAATCCGGTGAATCCGTTGCTTCCCTTCCCAAATTGATTGCAAAAACGAATTCCTCTCTACCTCCTCTATCTTATCCCCAATAAACCCTCATCAAATTCGTTATCTATCCGAGGAATTTTGGCCGTTTTTATCCGGGTGAACTCGGGATAAATCCTAACTTCCTTCACCAAATCCATCCGTTCCCGAGCCGATCTCCTCCACCTTTGCCTATAAATAGCATCCCCTCGGCCTCCTCTTCGATTTCCCCCTGTTTCCTGAAGTTTTCCCTAACCCTAGCAGCCTCCCCACGCTCGCCTTCACTCTCCAACTCCGGCCGCCATCTCCAGCCGCCTTTTCCAGTCGCGCCGGCCGTTCCCGATCAGTGCCGCCACTTCCCTCCGCTCCGCGAGGTTGATCTTCACCCCGGCCACTGGTTTCCCTCCGCCAAATCCTGCCGGAAGCCGCTGTCACCGTGAAGGCCGAGTTCGCCGTCCCGGTTTGATCTCCGGCCGATCCTCCTCGCTGTTGCGGTCGTCGCTGGTTCACCCCGAGGCCGTTGTCGGCATCGCAGCACCGAGAAGAAGCCCGTCCACCCATACGTTGCCGCTGCTCGTCGCAGGAAAGCCACTGCCGTCGTCGTCCCGACTTTGCCGCCGTTCGGAGCTCGTTGCCGGTCGTCGTTCGTCGTCGTCCGTCGTTGTTCTTTGCACCGGTGAGTTCGCATCGTCGTCCTCTTCGCGTTGGAGTCCTCGGAAGACCCGGCCGAGTCCTCTAGCTCCGGCGACCTCATGGTTCAGAGCCTCTCGCAGGTGATGACGTCATCGATGATGTCATAAAGCCCTTTTCCCTTCTAAAAATAAATGTTAAAATCAGTTTAATCTTGTAAAATTCATAACTAATTCATATGAAGTCGGAATGAGGCCGTTCAAGTCTCTAAATTTATCTAAAATCATGATCTACATGTTTGTTTACTTTTTATGTACTGTTTATTTGGTTTTTATTATTTTTTTTCGTTTTGCGTGTTAGCATGCCGTTTCCGTCGTTGCGAAGGTTCGTGAGTGCGTCGGAAGTGTTCAAGAAGATTAATTGAAGACTGATTATTGCAAGGCAAGTCACACAGATCCTAAACACAATCCTTTGAGCATGTTGATCCTATATTTAAATTCTCTATTTATTTCAACTGTGCATTTATTTTCGAATGTCACCGGGTGGTATGAACCTATTCCTTTATTATGGCCAATTTGCATTGAATACCCTATTCTTTAATACCTTGGGTAATAAATTAATTAGCTTGAACCTTATATATTAGTTTGGTTCAGCTAAATGCTATATATATATATATATATATATATATATATATATATATATATATATAAAATTGCTTAGCCATGCTTAGAAACATTATCACATAATTGGGATAACTAATGTTACACTATCACTTATGATTATATTTAATGGTAGCTCATGATGGTTAATCGTGTTATGATAATTAATTGATAATTAAAACTTGACAATGGTGGGTTGTGAGCATATGATTTTGAAGGTTGTGCTCATGACAATTAAGGACCGGTTCGCGAGCTACTGTTGTGAGACATTAACCGTACCAACCACAACCAGCGTGGGCAACGACTTTACCTTTTGTATAGCATGGTTCATTACGGGGTGCCAGACTGAGAAGCGGCGAGAAGTCCGTGGGGGTCGCTGGGGAGTCCATGCCTCTGGTTATAGAGGGGGTGATTATGATCCAGGTATGGTGCACTGTGGTGAGTTGTGTTGTGCAGGGGGTATTGTCACAGCCTCTATTCGGGTACTTTCCAGTATCGCGATACATGGTAAACATGATGTTGAGGCTGTGTCTTGTGGGTACAGTGGTACACCTCTGGCCAGAGTAAAACTATTCGAATAGCCGTGCCCGCGGTCATGGGCGGGTTGAGAAATGTTTTTCGTGATTAGTCTCACACCTCTCACAATAATTATTGATGCTATAACTGGTAATAATTTTCTTAGCTCCTGGCTTGGAGTTAGATCTGTACAGCTGGGTATGGTTGTTCAGGATGGTTGGGCATGTGCAGCATTGGGGTGCTGTGCAATGTTGGTTAAAATTGATGATTAATTACTCTACTGTTTTACTTCTAAATCTTTGCTAAATGCTGCTTTCGCAAATGAACCCTATATTATGCCATCCTTTGGTATCCTTGTGCACTTGCATATTTGCTATGTAGCTTGTTGAGTATATCATATGCTCATTCTTGTAATAATCAATCAACCTCAGTTGAAGAAAAAGGATCCAGAAGGAGAAAACGTTTGGCTTATACCCCAGTTGAGTTGCCTGTAGGAGTGGAGTTAAAGCCATCGCTAGACCGTTATTCCGCTGCTGTTTTTCTTTTCTTTTGTAAGTATGTAATGTTATTATTATGATGGATTTGTATATTAAATTGTCAGTTTGTATACCTCGGCTGATTCCTGTACGAGGGTTTTATGCACAAATAAATTCGGAAATTACTAGTGAATTTTTCAGACGTGACACCGAACCAGAGACGCCGTCGCCCGCATCTTTATGCCGCCGCCGCTATACCGCCGTCGACGCCAAGGAATTGCTGCCCGACGTCAGCCGCACCTCATCTCGCCGACGTCAGCCGCCGAGCCGAACCGCCATCACCAGCCAATCAGCGATCAAAGCCGACGCCGTGTACTTCTTCTCCACGCCGTCGTCGCCGTGTCCCCTTCATCCTCCCCCTCCAAACCGACCTTCGACAACCGCCTATCGTCCCCTATAAATAGCCAGCGAGGTCTCCTCCCTCCACACACATGAGCCGAGCTCCTCTCTCTCTCTCTCCTGTTATGGCGACCACCGCCGGCCATCGATCGATCTCCATCCCTAGAGCATCCTAAATCAAATCCATTCGCCACCAGCCTCCCCGTACACCGAAGAACCCATTTTAGCCCTTTTCCCCTTCACTCCCACTTTCAATCGAGCCTCACCGGAGCTCTCTCTCTCTCTCCGGTTCATGCCATTGTGCTCGCCGTTCCGGCCTCCTCTCTCACTCCCGTGTCCAGCCACCACACTCCCTAGGTGCGCAACACCCGGGAACACCCTATGCCGCCCGCGGCGAAGCTGTTCCACCACTGGAACACCGGCGCCCCTTCCTCCCTCTCCTCTCCCTCCTCTCGAGCCTCTGTGTAACGGGAGGAAGAAGAAGACGTGAAGAAGGAGAGAGAAAGAGAAAAGAAGAAAGAAAAGAAAAGAAAGGAAAGGAAAAAGTATTGACAGGTGGGTCCATCAACAGTGACTTTTTACATTTTCTCTATTTAATTTAAATACCATTCTTTAGAAGCCCATATCTCCTAAACCGTAGATCCGATTCTAGTGAAAATTGGACCTAAATTCATCTAAATTCAAAATCTACATTTTGGTACCAAATTTACTATTTTAATATTTTATTTGAATTTTCTTGATTTATTCAAATGTTATTTGAATAAATATTTGATTTAATCCTATAATTGAATTTACAATTTAAACTTATATTTACTTTTCAAATATTTTCTTTTATTTCCAAAATAACCTTTAGCCACTAAAAAGCTGCCGGTTGGAACTTTACGCCTTCCATGGGGACGTTCGCGTGGTCCACTATCCCCGACGTCGGACCGTTGGTTGTAAAGCCCGGCAAAAACCAAACCTAAGGTCGAAGTGCTGCTCCTGTCACCCCACACCTTGATGCGTATAGCGGTCGGAGCTTCACTATTCCCTCGACCTCCACAGCATGCCGCACAGTTAGCTCTCGGGCTCTATGTGATCCTAGCCACTCCGCTGCCATTCACGGTTGTCGGATTAACACTTCCGCCCCACCCAAACCTACACCAACCTCCTATTCCTCTAGCCAATATGTTGTCGGTCGACACCGGCTAGAGAAGGTATCAAATCAAGTCGTTATACTCTAGCATCGACTAGCATACAACCAAACCCTAGCTAATACCTTGCCAGTCAAATTCCAGTTATCATCCAAATTTCACACCCACCAGTATCGCATATCCACCCTACTCTCAGCCACATACTCTCCAACTAACTAGAACCTACACATAAAATATAGAGCCTATCGATATGCTGCCCTATCCACAATCGGCTTAAATATAACCAAACCCTAGGTATTATACTACCCAAACCTACCACCAGCCAATACTAGCCATATACCAACTGAACCAGTTCAATTATCCAATATACATTCTATCCTTTCAGCAACCAAGCATTCCCATAAAATATAAGCAACCTTAGTTGCCTGATTCCCTCTCCACTTTAGCCTCCAACTCTTTAGAACCTTATACCCCTTTAAAGGAGATATTTATACCCCAAACCTAGCCCTTCTTGCTCTTCATCACTTTCTTTCTATTTCATGATTTTTATTGAATTTGGTTCTTCGTCTTTCTTAGTAGAGTCTATTTTATTTTGGATGGCAACCTGTGGTATTTCGAGGATCAGATAATCAGGTTGCCTATCTCGGATTTATTTGCGTTGGAGCAAGGCAAGTTATTATTCCTCTCCTTTGAGCATAAATGCCCTATATTCTATACCTCTATTCTATGCATTAGCCATTCATGATTTTGAATGCATAACCTGAACATATAGCAAACCAGATATGCTAGCTTTTGCTTAGCCCTGCCTAGTTAGACTGCATAAAAATATAATGAACTTAGATTGGGACAGTACGTAAGATTTGGTTGATTTTCGGGTGGCTAGTACTGTCTCGGTCGATATAATGGCCACAAAATACTTATGTCAAAAGAACGAGTACGACTGCAGCTTCTAGAATGGGGACAGACCTAAATATTATGTTAATTAACAATATGGTACCTCTATACAGTGGTTCCTTTTGTAAGTCCTCGCGCAGGAGGCAATCTTATGCCGAGCAGGGCATCCTATGATATTTATCGAGGCGCAGGTAAATATATTGATTTTTACTCATGAGTTGTGTGTGTGATTTTATGGAAACCTGGTTGAGATGATGTGGGGTCTCTCATCCAGTTCTCTCTAAAAACCCCAGGAATGCCAGAACTCCTCTCGCTGCTGATAACGTTACGTTCAGAGCGCATGGGGACTAGAGTTCATGGAACAGGTGCCACTATTGTTAATAACCTAATACTAGGCCATGACTAAGCTAATGAATATTGGCAAGTCGTGGATTGCGGGTAAAGTGTACATCTACTGCAGTAGAATATTCATGAAACTATTCGAATAGCCGTGCTCATGGAATTGAGTACCGGGACTCATATGGTATTTGGTTAGAAACCTAATTCAAGATTTTACTAAATATTGTTGCATTAAAGTCATTACAGGCTTTCTTATTCTATATCCTCTGCTTTCTGCAATTAAATCTAGCCCTACTCAAATACTACTATTTCATACATTCATGTTGAATATAATAGCTTGCTGAGTACGTTGTACTCACCCTTACTTCAACCCCACCTTTTTTAGAGTCAATTTGGAGTTCTTATCGAAGCTGGGAGTTCAATCACATAAGTTAGTTCCCTTTAAACCTAGTCTTCAAGTCTAGTATTGTTAGATGGTTTAACTCTATAGCAAAACATTAGAGTTGGTTCATTCTATAGCTCCTGCTGTATTAGTTAGCCACAAGTTTGTAAATATCCATATATTTTATCTTCTCTGGAGCCTTGTTCAAATGTATGCAATGAAGATCCAGATTGTTGAACCTGTATCAATCTACTGATCCAGGGCTTAATACAGTCTAAACATGTCGGTTACCAAATCATTAGTTTTGGGACCCGACAAAATCAAATATAAGATTTCAAGCTGATGAATTGAAAAATTGAAAATACTTGAAACTTGAAAGGACGATTAGTTGAGCCGGGCCAGGCACCGTAGCCAGCCGGCGGGACCAAAGCTAGCCGCTGCGGAAGAGCCAGCACAGGGGGTCCCGGGCTTCGACGGCACCCGGAGCTCAACTGCAAGAGTCCTCCCAGGAGTAGACCGAGGCAGGTGGCAGGTTCATGAGCGATCCCCGCGCTTGGCCCTAGAGGGCCATGGGGAAGAAATTCGCCTTCACCCGGTCGTCACCCCATGCCGCCTCTATGATCGTCGTGTGGATCTGGAGGGACTCGGAGTGGTTGACACTACCGTGGTACCTTTCGGTGAGGCCGGTGAAGATGCAGGGAGACTAGCCCCCTGCCTGGGGTGGCGCGGCTCTCCTGAGGAGGCTGCGCCTTCCCCCGCATTGGCGGTGCGACGCACGTCACGCCGGCGCTCGAAAGAACCTCAAAAATCACGAACGCGTCCCCTACCTGGCGCGCCAGATGTCGGAGAAAGAACTCCACCAAGGAACCGTGAGGCCCCTCTTTGTAAGTTCGGCCGGGGGCAGCGGGTGAGATTCGAGGGCTTGGTGAGCGAAGTTGTGTGATCTTGAGGGGGTTCCATCCCCCAAAGACGATGAGACAAAAGGGGTTTATACAGGTTCGGGCCGCTGAGAAGCGTAATACCCTACTCCTATGCTTGATTGATTGAGTGTAGAACACAAGTGTTTGGGGTTGCGAGACCCAAGCGCCAGTTCGCTCGGTAGTCCCCCCCTCCACCACTAGGTCTGGACCTCCTTTTATACCTCAAGGGGTTACCACATGGGCCCAACAACCTAACCTAGCTCCGGTGGAGAAGTATTATAATCTTTGCATTAAATGCATGTCTTGTCTCTTGACTTGGGAAGCCAAGCGCACGTCGTCTTGATGATGGGGCCTGTCAAATCTTGCCGCCTGACACGGGGGGTGCCCCTGTCAGTCACCATTTAAGGGGTGAAGACTTCTGGGCTCCTATTACACCGGGAAACGGGAGCCTTGCTTTGACCAGAGCGGGAGGACCGACTCCGGCTGGGATAAGAGGATGAGAACCTCTCACCATCATTATTTGATGGGATATGTCGGGCTGCACGTCGCCTGACATACGCGATGGTGCGCCTGACATCCTGGGTCCCATCAGTCATTCGACCGGTCACAGACCGGTTGAGTGCACTGCACACTGCATTAAATGCGGTGTGGCGCGACCGCTTGGATTGCCATAAATGCGGGTAGGTGGGCACCTGGAGGCGGACACCTAACCCACCGTACGTGGAGACATAGAGAGGGGGTCGGCGGAGCCCGACCCCTAGTCACGGGAGGGGGCGGCCGCCGCCTGACCTCAGGGGGGAGCTACGTGGCGCCTGGGGCGGCCTTCTCCCTCTAGTCTCGGCCAGGGAGTGGCCGCCGCCCTACCTCGGGCCCGACCCCCCTCGGGGGAGGGCCACGTGGCATTGGAGGGCAGCCTCCTCCATCCAGTCTCTGGGAAGGAGTGGCCGCCGCCCTACCTCGGGCTCGACTCCCCTCGGGGGAGGGCCACGTGGCATCGGGTGGCAGCCTCCTCCGACTAGTCTTTGGGAAGGAGTGGCCGCCACCCCACCTCGGGCCTGACTCCCCTCGGGGGAGGGCCACGTGGCATCGGGGGGCAGCCTCCTCCCTCTAAACCTGATACCCCCGGGCCCATATCACCGACAAATTTATCAATCGTGTGAATTATTTCAGCTTGCATGGATCTTTCTTTTTATTTTGAGCAACCTTTTTCTGGTCAAAACAAACTACACAAAAATATGACAACCAAAATATGTTGATATATGTGCCATGTAGGTATGTGGTACCCATAATGTCCGCACTGCGTGTAAGATGAATCCCTTCATTTGTAGGAGTCAAGTCCCTATCTTTCTTCTTGTGATTTCTTCTAGCAGTCTTGCTGCTCCTTTTCATTTTCTGATTCCATCCAGTTGTGTTACCACACAACATGATATGGACCTGTTCTGAAACAATAGTTTCGCTGTATAATTTAATTCAATACTCCTCTCTATAAAACGATTGATTAATGGGTGCACCTATTTTGCATTTCCTACACGGCCTGTTGTCTTTGTGTTTGATCTAAATGAACTAATTTGATTCCTCTCTATGAACTAAATAAGCATGAAATGGTCGTCTCTGCTCATGATGAATGGGTTTACTGTATCTTCCTACTTCCCCCATCTTAATCGAATTGCTTGACTTACGGCCTCTTTTTGCACCTAATCCACAATGAATGTATAAGAGAGAATGTTTCTTTAGAACACTCACTTCTATATATGTATAGATCTTTTAAATTTTCCAATTATATGTATAGATCTTTTAAATTTTCCAATTATGATATTTCCAAAGAGAATGACTATATATGCAACGTAATAGAAAAAAAAATGTTTCTGTAGCCTACCAAGTAATGCAAATGGACACGGCGAGCTTGTGCACCGTGGAGAAGTGCATCCCCGTATGTCCACGTCATCACCCTCACTGGTGCCGGTGAGCACTGCCTTGGCCTGGCCCTCATGTCTGCGCCACTGTGGGTGCCAGTGCACCAGTGATTGCCACCAAGGAGAAGTGCTTCTCCAACGGCTTTGGCCTGCCTGGGTGCGCACGCGCCCGCCGAGCTGCACGCCTCCATAGGCGGTGCCCCTCGGGACTGGTTGCCGATCTCGTCGCACTCCCGATGCCCACCGTTGCCGCCGTCACCAGCCACGCGTTCACAATTGCGCATGATGCAGTGGACATGAGCGCCTCCCGAGTGACAAGATGACAGTTGCGGAGGCCTTCGGGCGGGGCATCGTGGATGGCGGTGTTGACGACGTGGTCACCGCGGAAACGTTGAGGACTCCGTTGTGTAGGCGGCCTGTTACCTCGCGCGTGCGCGAGAAGCAGTAGCGTGATTGTGCGGTGTTGGCCGCGGCGCCCTCGCGGCGAAAGCGGTGTAGCAGTGAGGATGGGGCAGCGGGGCATGCGTGCATGGCCTATGACCATACGCGCAGCAGGGGGCACGTTAGAGGAGTGTCGGAGGAAGACCGGAAGAAGGGAGAAACACAAGTGCAAAACTATTATTTTACGGTTTTGCTAGCTAGCTGTCGACAGTTTTTGAGGCTGAAAACTTTCGATTTTTTGACCGTGTGATCCGCGCCGTGATTCGGGTTTTCGATTTTTTGACCGTGCGATCCGCGCCGTGATTCGTGTGAGATTTGGAAAAAATCAGCGCGTGTGCGCTTGCAGGGGATCGAACCCAGGACCTCCATCCTGGAAGTGTAGTTTGAGAAGTTAGATGAGTTATATTTTAGTTATATTCCAGTTACACCCTGTTACAATGTAACTGCATTGTAACTGCATCGTAACTGCATCGTAACTACTGTGTAACTGAACTGTAACTATATTATCATCTCTATATAATTTAATTTAGATATAGTGTTACATATATTATTTTAATATTTATATACGAGTTCCATTATACTTACATACGAAATTATATTGTAATTATACTATAGTTAGATTTGAAAGTTGTCTCCTTAAAAAACTGTCGACAGTTCTCTAAGTAGTCCCTTATTTTATGTGGTTTCTCTCTCATCAATTGGGTTGATATTATATTGGCAGGGCCAGAAAGTTTTACAATATAGAACGGAGAGAATAAAAAAAATTGATAGATGGAAAATAAATTAGTAAAAAAATTAGTAGATGAGAAAAAAAGTAGCACGAAGTTGATAGGTTGGGTATAAAATATTGTCGTGGGATCACAAAATATCTTACATTTCGGACAAATTTAAAGGGCAAAATCATTTATATTATATTATATGATAGAGAGAGTAGTTAATTAGCAGAATTTGGCTTCTGGCCTGTGGTGCAGTTGCTTCCAAAATAATCACTCTCTCCGTCTCACAATATATTTGGCGCTTTTTTTGGGAGATTAACAATGAGTATGTGAATAAAGAGTTATTATTGAATGAGATGAGTAGTTATGTGAGAAAAATTAAACGAGCAGTAGTAGTTGTGATTGGTTAAGATAAATAGATTGTTGTAGATATTCTTATATTATATTAAATAAAATTTAAACTATATATCATTATATTTCTAGACCTAATGATTAACCAGGAAAAATGCAAGGATTTGTCAAAATATAGACGCCAATTTCTAAGTGAATGGACAAGAAACAAAAAGCGAGCAGGCTGTCTATATATGGACAATTAGTTGCATTAATATAGTAGTTTACAATTGCAAGCATGGCACTACATCACAACACCAAAAAGACATGCCAAGATGCTATAACCATTGGATAAATTAGAAAGAAAGGTTGTGCTAGAACAGCGATGATCTCCCCGCCGAGAAAACCCATGGAGATACTTTCAACACCGTTAGCTCCCTCATCAATCACATAAAGATTTAATAATCCAGCTATATATATATATATAGCCTTCCATGCATGCTCTCTACATGTACTGGTGGAGAAACCCTTATTAGTCCCGGTTGGTAACCCCCGTAGTCCGGTTTTCAAACCGGGACTAAAGATCGACCTATCTTTTTTTTTATTTACATGGCCATGTTGCTGCATGGTTTATATATATATATATGAAAATGATTCTATACACCTAGGAGTACGTACACCTGCTTCCATCCACCGTCCATCCATTCAACCAGCGATCTACCCAATCGAACCTCCCCCTAACGGGTATAGCTGCATTGGCCCGTTAATATTTTCCCATAATATAAATGATTTTGCCCTTTAAATTTATCCTAAATGTAAGATATATATTTTGTGATCCCGCGACGATATTTTATATCCAACCTATCAACTTAGTGCTACTTTTTTTCCCATCTACTATTTTTTACCAATTTATTTTCCATCAATCAGTTTTTTTATTCCCTCCGTTCTATATTATAAAACTTTCTGGCCCTGTGTTGATATGAAAAACACACACTGACCTGGAAGATCTACTTAACTCCTGTGCAGGTCCAAAATCTTGCTTTTAGGTTTATGAGCGTGCCAGTTGATTTGATCATGCAATCAACAAGAATAAAAACAAGAAAAACCGCGGTTAAATCCATAAACGATAGCCGATCGGCTAGTTGCCGATGACGTATCAATTATCTTTGAGCTGATGTCATATTGGAATCTACCGGCAATAATGAATGAATAGAATAAAACTAAATCTACTCGATCGGCTGTAGATATTAACAGCATGTAGTCTTTACTTCAGTATATACTTAAACTAAGTGATTGGGATAGATCGGTCGCCGTGCCGAGACAGTATAAATCACTTAAGTCGAAATATATATTAAAGCAAAGATTATATAGGTGTTTATAGCATAGCCGATCAAATAGATCTAGTATGTATCGGCTAATATTCCGATACCACTCTATACTAAGATATCAAAACAAGCAAGATATATTAAACAAGAAGCCTAACATAACTTTAAGAGAAAATCTCCTGTGTACCCTTGAAAGTTCACCTAATCCCTTCTGTACCCCTGAATTTTGATCAATCCCTTACATACCTCTGAATTTTAGTTTAGATCCCTTCCATGCCCTTTCCGCTAGTTGACCGTTACTTGATCGTTAAATTCTTATGAAAAAATCCATTTTGCCCTTTGGTATAAAGAAGCATATAAATTAATAGAGCATATTGTTGGAGCATAGAAATTTGTTATATGAGACTATTATGTTTATGAGATAGTTATGCACCATATTATTTGCGATAAATATACTTTTAGATATGACATAAAAAATAATACTTATTTATTAGTTATTAAATGATTTTTTTAGCATATGTGTTCTGAAGTAATAAACAAATCTGTTATATTACTATGAAAACACATATGCTACATAAAAGAACTTTTAATAACTAATAAATAAGTATAAACTTTTTATATCATATGTAAAAGTAAATTTGTCACAAATAATATGATGCATCACATACTCATAAATATAATAGTCTCATCCAATAAATTTTTACATTCCAACAATATACTTCATTAATTTATTATGTTTCTTCATAGCAAAGGGCAAAATGGACTTTTTCAAAAGAATTTAACGATCAACTAACGGTCAACTAGCGGAAAGGGCATGGAAGGGATCCAAACTAAAATTCAGGGGTATGTAAGGGATTCAGCAAAATTCAGGGGTATAAAAGGGATTAGGTGAACTTTTATGGGTACACAGGGGATTTTCTCTATCTTTAATGTAGCAAGATCTTAATATAAAGGGCAAATTTAGCATAGCAGTCAAGCATATAAGATCAGAATAGCTAAATCAGGTAAGATCGGCTGAAACTCCGATACTATCTTTATGGGTTATCATAAAACAAGCTAGATATCACAATTATAGATAAAACTTAATAGATCAAACTCATCTGATGCAGCATTAATCATAAAGATAACTGTAAGATCTAAACAAGATGATGAAAACCTCTAAGAGATGGTAGAGATACGATATAATCTAGATTAATAACGAGATCTAACCCTATCGGCTACTTTCTAATAGTAAAAACCAGCCGATGGCAAGTTATATAACGAAACTAACAGAGATTATAAAACATATATGATAACTCGACGAATTACATAAACAAGATTATAGTGTCATAAAGATGGAAGCACTAATCCCGAGAACACAAACCGTCATGACAAGTTTACCTCTAGTTGAAGATCGAATCGATGCAGCTCAACCCAAAAGTAAGAACTCGTCGAAATAGAACGAAAGTAAAAAGGGTGGCGATGTGCCGAAAGTGTTATTGAACGTGTGTCATTTGATTACATGGGTACGGGTTATATTTATACCCGAGATACAAAATATGTCCTTGCCGGACACGACTCTTATCTCTAACAAACTCTAAGATACCATAAGTCTTTGCGGCAGACTTTTGCCCAAACATATCTCTAAGGAAATTACATAAGATATCCTAATTAATAGATACAATTGCCTATCTTGTTCTGTGGTCCGAGCTGTGGTCCTACTGCAAACTGGCAACACGTAGCCGAGAACTTGGTAGAAAAGAAACAATTCCCCCTTGGAAAGTATCTGCTAGGCTATCTGTACCAAACTCTGAACACCACCATAACCAAGATGGCCTCTGGAATATCAATCGGCACAGGGGGTCCATGGTGGTTACTTCAGATCTGGCTAAATTTGCACACCAGGATGGTTGCCAATCGGCCACCACTAGCCGATGCAAGATTTCCAAGGTTTGAGCCGATCATTGATGATGATGGAGAAAAGATCACCACATGCCGATGCATGTCCTTCGGAGAAGCAGCATCGGTCAGCATTGCATCCAAACTATCGGCTAAGCCCTTCAGCGAGTGGTTCAACAATTTTTATGACGGGGTTCCCCAGAAACACCAGGATCTGGTTTGCATACGAAGGATCTGCTGGTTTTGAGCTGCCAGGTGATTTTCGGTTTGAAGAGATCAATTCCGAAAAATATGACAAATCTATAGAAGTATACTCAACAGCCATCAGCCCTTGCATCCTTCCTGTTGGCATCCACCAAGGCAAAAACATTCAGATGACCTACGAGTTCTATCATCCGATAAGTGCTGCAAGGCAATTGGGCATGGGTCAACTGCCAATTAGCCTATTCTTTGCCGATAAGATCCAAAGTAGAGGAGAGATCACATCAACACTCATGATGGATCGGCTGCTGAACATAGCAGGACCACCTTTGGGTAGTATCAACAATATCAAGCTAAGGATGTTGAGAAGTGCAGCCTTTGACCGATGGTGGGTAGAATGGAAGAAACATTTATCTCACCAATCGGCTTCAATGTATCTGACAGATCTGTTTCCTGAAGCTGTTCCTCAAGTAAGTATTTAGCCCCTTGTCAATTCTATTAACCACAAGCCGATGCATTAATCTTAATCTCATGTAAATTCTTTCTTTCTCTGCAGACAATAGAATCTTCTCCTCCTCATCACAGCAATAGTGGTATGGAGATTCAATATGCTCCAGGACTTCTGCCCAATGGTGGTGGGCGATCTCCTCCAGTCATCGGCTATAATGCCCCCAAGACCTCAACACTGCTGCACGGCCTGCCCCGTGTGCCGATAGCCCCTGATGCTGGTAGGAAGAAGAGAGCAAAGTCGGCTGCTGCACCATCGGCTGCAAAGAAGAAACCTAAGAAGCAAAAGACCACTGCCGATGAATTGCCAGCCATAGATCCAGATGTAACGGAATTCCTGGAGGATGAAGCAACGGTAGAAGATGTAGATGAAGCGGCTGAACACATTAGTGAAACAAGGGAACAAACTACTCCAGCTGATCCACCTGCTCCTCAAAGAACACCATCACCTCCAGTACGTCCCACATACAAACCAAGAGTATGTGTTTGCTTTCAATCTATGGTCTAAGTTTATTATGCCTTTATACCAATTCTCAACTTTGATTTCCTTGCAGAGGAAGTTTGCTTCCAAGAAGCCACCAGCACCAGCTCCATCGGTTAACTTTTTAACCCCATCACACTCTTTTGTCAATTTTTAAGTAACCGATGCTAATCGGTATTTGTGTTTTCAGCCTCCTCGTCCTCCAACTCATGTTCCTGAATCAAGTGAAAACACTCCATCGGCTGCAGACAGCCATCATGTGGATGAAGAAGAAAAAGCTACACCAGCTCCTGCTATTCCTGTAAGTATATACCTTAAGTCTGCAAATCATATCGGCTGCCATCTCTTTTTACATAACTCATAATCCCAACGTTTCTCTTTTTTAGGTTTTAGCTGACATGTTCTCTTTTGACATTAGGCAATTCTTGGATGAAGAGGAAGAAACAACAAGCAAAACTCTGGTGCCCTTAGCTGATGATATCAAGTCAACTCTACTACACATCTCAAAAAGGCTTGAAGGCTCTCTAGAAATCTTGGTGACAAGCTGTGGATCCATCCGAGATAGACTTAATGAAATCCATGACAAGATCCCGGATGAGCTAGCGAATGCCATCACTCCAGCAGCATACCTTAAGCAGCATCGGCTTAAACTTGAAAAAGCCCAAAGGAGGATTGCCGATCAGCGTGAAAGAAGAGATCTTGAGGCAACCATCCAAGCTAACAGGGTTTCTATCAATGAAAAGAAGGCAAAGCTTGATGAATTGGAGGCTGGTACAAACCCCACTCAAACTAACATTGATCGGCTGAATGCTCGAAAGATAGAACTCTTGGCTGAGTTGGAGCAGTGCAATGCACCGGTCGCCCTTGAACAGCAAAAGCTTGCTGACTTGCCAAAAGGCATTGAGGATCAGAAGTCAAAGTTGAAAGTATCTGTCAAGCACTTGGCCGATCTGACCAAATCTCTGAAGGTGTTCCCAAGCACTGATGCAGCCGATGCCCAAATCATAGACGAAGTAGATCATATTAGGCAAAGGGCAATATCGGTCATCCAAAAATACATGTCTGGATGAGCTAAGTCTTGTAATTCCAACTTTAAATTTGCAAACTTAACTTTTGGGACGTAATATAACTTTCTGCTTGTGAAGCTTGCTCTTGAATTTTGCTTTTGAAATCCAGACTTGTCATATATATTTGCCCCCCTAATTATGCAATGTTGAAGACATTGATAAAATTATAATTTGGACTAAGGACGATATGTCAAATATCGGCCATCATACATCGGCAAAGCACAACCGATTATGATAAGAAAAATCCACTAAGGGCAATATAATCTATATCGGCCATCATATATCGGCAAATACAGCCGATTATGGTAGAAAAAACTGCTAAGGGCGATATAACTTATATCGGCCATCTCAAGGCGATGTCAGCACATCGGCTAACATGTATCGGCAACACTTAGCCGATCATGAATTGATCCGAACACTTGGATAATATTTCTTTAAGTATTTTCCATTACGAGCTCGTCCAAAAACTTCACCATCAAGTTCTTGCAACATATAAGCCCCTTTGTACACAACTTTGTATATTTGAAACGGTCCTTCCCAATTAGGTAACCACTTGCAGAATTTATTATCGCGAGTTCCTATTGACAAGATCAATTTCCAAACTAGCTCCCCTTTAGAAAAGGATTTGGGCACCACCTTTTTGTTGTAATGCCAAGCAACTTGTTCTTTATCTTTAGTCACCTTTGCAAGGGCTCTCAATCTGGACTGAACTAGATCTTCTGTTTCATCTACCATAAGATTGTAATACTCATCGGCTGTTAAGTTATCTTGTAGATCTATTCTCCTTGAGCCGATTGTAGTTTCCCATGGTAAGCTGCCTCATGTCCACAAACAAGCTTATAAGGAGGAACTTGAATCGATCCATGACAACCATCCGATAAGACCATAATGCTTCAGCCAACCTTGTATGCCATTGCCGAGGAAAATCAGAAATCTTTCTCTTGATTAATTTAATCAGGCTCTTGTTAGATGCCTCGGCTTGCCCATTAGCTTGCGCATAATATGGTGAAGAATTCAACAATTTGATGCCCATGCTATCGGCAAACTAAGCAAATTCATCAGAAACAAAGATTGATCATTGATCGGTTGTTATAGTCTGAGGAATCCCAGATCGGTAGATAATATACTCCTTGACAAACTGTATTGCATCCCCAGAATCGACTTTCTTCAAAGGAATTGCTTTCACCCACTTGGTAAAATAGTCGGTTGCCACCAATATAAACTTATGCCCCTTGCTTGAAGGTGGATTGATCTGACCGATCATATCAATTCCCCAACCTCTGAACGGCCATGGCTTGATTATAGGATTCATAGCCGATGCTAGTGCTCTCTGAATTGCTCCAAACTTCTGACAATCTTGACATTCTTTGTAATATCGGAAGCAATCCTCTAACATTGTCGGCCAAAAATACCTTGTACGCCGAAGCAACCACTTCATCTTGTGAGCTGATTGGTGAGTACCGCAAATACCTTCATGTACTTCGCCCATCACAACCTTAGCTTGATCGGCACTCAAACATTTAAGCAATACCTCATCAATCGTCTGATAATACAGCTCATCATCCAATAAGGTATATTTCAAAGCCTTATAGCGCAATTTTCGTGAAGCCGACTGAGATGAATTCTGCAAATACTGATAAACATCATACCTCCAATCATCGGCTGTGATTGCAGCTACCTCCACCTCAATATCCTTCATCATCGGCTTGTATCCTAACGCTCCATGAGCCAAGTCATTAGCTTCAACGTTCTGCTCCCGAGAGACATGCTTCAAAGTCACCAGACGAAAATAATTCATTAGTTCTCGGCACTTCTCGTTGTAGATCATCAAAACATCATTTTTGCATTCATATTCTCTTGCCAATTGATTGATCACTAACAAAGAATCTCCCATGATCTCCACAGCATCGGCTTCAACCTCCTTGAGCAATTGCAACCCCTTGAGATCTGCTTCATACTCAGCCTGGTTGTTGGTCGCATAAGGTTTGATAGTATAAGCAAATTCAAAACTTGCCCCCCGAGGAGAAATTATAACCAAGTCGATACCACAACCAGGAGTGCAAAGTGACCCATCAAAAAATAAAGTCCAGGGCACAATCTCAACCGAGCCGATTGAATCATCAGGATGTTCCACAATAAAATCGGCTATAGCTTGCCCCTTGATTGCCTTGGGTGATTCATATCTGAGGTCAAATTCTGTTAAAGCATATATCCACTTCCCAACTCTCCCTTTGAGGACCAGAGCCGACAGCATATATTTGATCACATCAGCTTTGCATACCACAGTGCATTCATTGGATAACAAATAATGCCTCAACTTTGTGCAGGAGAAGTACAAACACAAGCATAATTTTTCCATCGGAGAATACCTTGTTTCTGCATCCAAGAGCCTTCGACTTAAATAAAAAATAGCTCTCTCCTTGCCTTCTAGCTCCTGAATCAAAACCGAGTTGATTGACTTCTCATCGGCCGATAGATACAACCTAAAAGGCACTCCCTTTTGTGGAGGAATTAAAACTGGAGGGGAACTCAAATATGCCTTAATATTGTCCAAAGCCTTCTGCTGCTCTGCCCCCCAAGTGAATTCTTGATCGGCTTTCAACCTTAACAAAGGTCTAAAAGGTTCCAATCTCCCAGATAGGTTAGATATAAACCTTCGAACAAAATTAATCTTGCCGATCAATGATTGTAGTTGTGTCTTATCTTCTGGAGGTTGAATTTTCTTGATTTCATTTATGCTCCTTTGAGATACTTCAATCCCTCTCTCATGAATAAGAAAACCCAAGAACTGTCCAGCTGATACACCAAAAGCACACGTCGTGGGATTCATCATTAGGCCATATTTTCTGGTTCTCTCAAAAACCTTCCTCAAATCGGCTATGTGGTCCTCTACCTGTTTTGATTTAACAACCACATCATCAATATAGACCTCAACCAACAAGCCGATCAGATCATGGAATATGTAGTTCATGGCCTTCTGATATGTAGCTCCAGCACTCTTCAAGCCGAAAGTCATCACAACCCACTCAAATAAGCTGATTGCACCAGGACATCTAAAAGCAGTCTTATGAATGTCTTCTTTTGCCATAAAAATCTGATTGTAACCAGCATTGCCATCCATAAAACTTATAATTTTGTGACCTGAAGTAGCATCAATCAATTGATCGGCAATCGGCATTGGGTACTCATCCTTAGGGGTAGCCTTATTTAAGTCTCGAAAATCAATGCACACCCTAAGTTTGCCTTTTTTTTCTTGATCATTGGAACTATATTGGAAACTCACTCGACATATCGGCACGGTTGAATAAAACCAGCATCATATAATCGAGTAATCTTAGCCTTGATAGCATCATACATTTGGGCCTTACATCTCCTTAGAGGCTGCTGATGTGGTTTATATCCTAGCTTAATAGGAAGCCGATGTTCGACAATCGATCGGCTGAATCCTGGCATCTCATAATATTCTCAAGCAAAGCAATTTCTATATTCTTTCAATAGCTCTATTAACTTGGTTCTGAATTCTGCATATAAATTCTTACTGATAAATGTCGGCCTTGGTCTATCCCTGGACCAATGTCAACTTCTTCCAAATCATCGGCCGACATGAAACCCTGTCCTTGCTTGTCATCGAGATCATCTACTGTGTCCTTAGTGTAGAAATAGAAATTTGAACCCTCCACGATGCTGTTAACGCCAAAATTTGGTAAGCCCGAAGTCATCATCGGCCTAGAGTCAGTATCGGCTTCAGAGTCTTAGAATCGGCCGATGGGAGTTGTCAAGTCGCCACCAGTTGTGTTCTTGATGGAATCGGATCAATTAAAGAAAATTTATCTAGAAGAGTCCGAATTCAAGGAGGATGCGGCATGTCAAGTTATCTATTAATTAGGAATAGTTTTTTTTGCCGCCGGAGCAGAGCTCTTGCCTGCGCAAGACCACCAAGACAAACCCCATCTTCTCCTCTACAACCGTGTTGACGTATAACACGAGGCCTGGGAGATCTGCTTAACTCCAGTGCAAGTCCAAAACTCGCCTTCCGGTATGCTAGCATGCCAGTTGATTTGATCTTGCAATCAACAAGAAATAAAGACAAAGAAACCGTGGTTAAATCCATAAATGATAGCCGATCGGCTAAGTGCCGATGATATATCATTTATCTTCGAGCCGATGTCATATGTAAATCGATCGGCAGTTATAAATAGATAATAAAGAACTAAATCTATTCGATCGGCTGTAGATATTAAAAATATATAATCCTGGTGTCGATATATACTTAAATCAAGTGATTGGGATAGATCGGTCACCGTGCTGAGACAGTATAAATCACTTAGATCGAAATATATATTAACAACAAAACTATATATGTTCATAGCATAGCCGATCAAATAGATCTAGCATGTATCGGCTAATACTCCGATACAACTCTATGTTAAGATATTAAAACAAGCAGAATATACCAGACAGAAACTTAATATACTTAGATGCAATAAGATCTTAATATAAAAGGCAGATTTAACATGTCAACGAAGCATATAGAGCAAATATAATTAAACCAGATAAGATCGGCTGACACTCCGATGCTACCCTAATCAGCAACCAGAAGGCAGGCTAGAGATTGATATTCTAAGCACGACTTAATAGATCAAACTCAACTGATGCAACATTAAGTATGAAAAGAAGAGCAATATCTAGACAATCAAGTCGCTGGAAGTTTCACAGGGTGGTAGATATCTTATATAATCTAAATCAACACCGATGTCTAACCTAATCGGCTGCCCTCTACCGATAGATATTAGCCGATTGTAGGTTAGATAGCGATATTGCCAGAGATTATGTAAGATATATAATAACTCGACGAATTACATAAACAAGATTAGAGTATCATAAAGATGGAAGCACTAATCCCGAGAACGCAAGCCGTCATAACAAGTTTTACCTCTTGTTGAAGATCGAAACCGATGCAGCTCAACCCGAAAGCAAGAACTCGTCGAAATAAAACTAAAGCAAAAGGGTGGCGATGCGCCGAAATTGTATTGAACATGTGTGTTAATTGATTACATGGGGTTCAGGATCTATTTATACCCGAAAATTAC